GCAATCTTTAATGGTTATTTACGTATCTATGGGAGCTGAACGTATCTTTTTATGAACGGAAAGAAGATTCGGTTAACTGATAGAAAATTAACGATTGATAGATGAATGCGGGAGGTGGAAGGGAGAACAAGTTTTATATTTTCATGAAACAGTAGTAAGTTGAAATCTTTTTCATCAGACCCATCCGATCCTGGCAGCCCCGGCTCTAGGTTTCCATCACCGTTTCTTTCATTTCCGAAAATATTATAACTTATCAGACTGAATTTTTTAATTTTCATTCAAAAGCGATTTGCTTGGAAAATTGAGAATCATAAATAAGAAAAAGATTCCGTCCATCTAAAATTTCTATTAAAGATTAATCTTCTGAAAGATCTTAGATATCACTTTTGGCATTCGTTTGTTTTCCATTCTTTATAAAAATTTAAAAATCAAAAATTTTAAGATTCGAAACGAAATTTAAGGGATTTCACCACTGTGCACACAACCAATTTCAGATTCATTACCAGTGCATCTTTTCGATACATTTCTATTAGTTATTAGCGCTATTTTCGTGGTCAAGTAAGTTCTCTAACAGATTTTTTTAATTGGACTGTGTGATTTAAGGCGTTTTTGCAAATTATGCACAAATATTATTTTCAGGCTTACAACCCTTTAAGAGGACCACCAGGACGAGATGGACGGGATGGAAATATGGGAAAGCGAGGGGAGCCGGGAGATGAAGGACCAGTTGGAGACGAAGGTCCTCCTGGGTTGCCTGGAATTAAAGGTCCACCAGGAGAAGAAGGAGATGTGGGATTGCCTGGAGAAATTGGCGATCCGGGACTGCCAGGTATAAGGAGACAAGGAGGACCACCTATGGCAGGATAAAAGTTACAGGCAGTGGAATTGGTCTAAGATATTGATCTTATTTTGGTTATTTTTGTTTGCACCAACCTATTGTGATGTTTTCGGTTATGTCATGAAATTCATAGACCTGAAATTGTTGTCGGCATCTTTATGGAATTTGCTTAGAAATGTTGCAGCATAAAATTTAAAGTTTATGAATAATCGTTATCATATAACAAGAATACTTTTTGAAAGTGACAAATTTTATGATTAACGACAAATAAAATATTTCTTCCCCATTGTATTATTTTTACCGTCGGGCAGATTTTTCAGAATTTTATAGATTAATATATAATTACGACATTTCCGATATATTTTTCTCCATATTTAGCAATACGAAAAGTCCTAAAAACTTATTGTTTTTTATAAAATTCAAATTATGATGCAATCTGTTTCTTTGTTTACTCGTTAGAAAATAATTAATAATGAGGTTGTATCTTGAAAATGAGCGAAGTTTTGCTTCATTAAGTCCAAATCTTATATTCCAATGTTTGTTAGCAAACTCCGCTAAGGCATCGATTATAATTTCAGATGTATTAATTTTATGACATAGTGGAAAGAGTGAATCAACGACAAGTTGGATAGAAATAAAAACAACCGATATACAAGAATGGATATCATTGATGACGACTGTTTCGATATCTCCGACAAATTCCATTGCCTGTTGCTTTTATGCTCCTGCGTCTCCTTCATCTCCTTGTTCTCCTTCCACACCTTTCGGTCCTTGTGGTCCTTTATTGCCTTTCTGACCTTGTGGCCCTGGCATTCCTTGAACTCGTTTTTCTCCTGGTGGACCATTAAGTCTTGAACCCCTGAATCACGAGGAATCCCTTCTCGTCCATCTCGCCCTGTAGGGCCTGCCGGTACTTCTAGCAACGACCACACCCTTATTCGTTAATTAATTCATCTCATTATTTTTCTTCCTTAAGGTAACTGATAATTGGTTGACTAAAGCACAGAAATATGAATTTCCTCACTGTTATGATACGATAGAAATTTGAAAAAAAGTTTTAAGATTCGAACTGAAATTTAATGAAGCGAATTTCGACGAGAAATTTTCTATTTATATTAAGGAATTATCTCTCTGATATCAATCTTTCATGAATTCATAAAACAAAGAAACATTTCAAAAATTCTTTGTGGATTTGTCGTATGGAAATACAGCAAAATGCAACATCAAACGATTATTGACTGTATCTATGAAAGCTAAAAGGATCATTTTATTTAAAGAATTAAAATGAATGAAAGGAAGATTCAGTCTACTGATAAGTCAGCGGTTGATAGAGAATTCGGGTAGATGGATGAAGGAATAAGATTTAAACCTTAGAAAAACAAGAACTGATGTAATAGGAGACTAATTATATATTAGTTGCTTATAGATTAGTTTTTTCTTTTTTTAGTAGCAAAATCAAAATCACATGATTCTTTTGCTTCTCTGATGTTTTGAATTGTCTAACTGTTTGAAATCTCTAATTATCGATTGAGAAAATTGTGGTGAAGGTATTGGTAAATAAAATTATTCGGTTACAACATTTCTCAATAGCCATACCGTGAAATGTACAAAAAGATTCGAAATCCAAAATCTCATAAACTTTTGTTATCATAGTTTATTAAAAATTAGTGTAATACACAATGCTGATTAAAATTTGGAAGCATAAGAGATGTTGCACTACCAGAGGAATTTATTGTTAAACAGCTAAAGAAGGATCATTACAGAAGAAATGAATGCCTATCGATGATGTCAGTCTTAAGGCTTATTTTAAGTGAAGCAGTTTGTTGAGGATAATTGAGACCATACGACTTGAACTATATGACTAAAGGACAATTGTTGAATGAAGAAGATGGAAGTGTTAATTAACAAACAAAAGAGAATTGAATGAAAATAAAGTCAGAGGATTGAATGATAAGAAGAAAGAGTTTGTTTAAACTATAACAGCTTCAAAGAGTAAATCGATAGCAAATTTATGTCAGACTGAATAACTGAACAACTGTCATTTGATGACAGATCTCATTTTGTCACAAGGGTGATAACGCTATTAGTCGTTTTGCTAGTGGCTTTGATAAATTAATCAATGCGATTGGATTGATTTAAGACTGTAAATTATAACGAAAAAAGCAATTAATTAACAGAAAAACAAAAGATTATTTATATTATGTAAAAAGTTAAATTTAATAAAATTATGAATCGATGAAAGGACTGATATTGTAATTATAATTCCGCCGCGGGAAATTGATATTATAATTATATTTTAGTGAGAAAGTAAACAAACTGATAGCTTAGTTAGCGTTTTATAAAAAGCAATTAAACTCCAAAATCTTTCAAATTGACTAAGTATGAAAAAAAAATGCATCGGAAACGTTGCAAGAAATTGGAATGAAATTTTACAAAAAAACAAGTGCAGCCGACAGCTGAGCTTTCATTAAGATTTTATAAGGCCTCTCAATTATGCTCAACAAACTGCTTCACTTAAAATAAGCCTTATGGCTAACATCATCGATAGTCATTCATTTCTTCTATAATGATTCTTCTTTAGTTCTTTATTAATTAATCCTTCCGGTAGTGCAACATCTCTTATGCCGTCAAATTTTAATCAGCATTGCGTATTATACTAGTTTTTAATAAACTATGATAACAAAAGTTCATGGGATTTTGGATTTTGTATCTTTTTGTACATTTCACGGCTATCGAGAGATGTTGCGACCGACTAATTTTATTTACCAATACCTTCACCACAATTTTCTCAATCGATAATTAGAGATTTCAAGCGGTTAGACAATTTAAAACATCAGAGAAGCAAAAGAATCATATGATTTAATATTGTATTTCATTGTATTCCACACGACCATTTCATAAAGAATTCTTGAAATGTTTCTTTGTTTTATGAATTCCGGAATGATTCATATCAGAAAATATAAATATGAATTTTTCTTCGAAATTTGTTTCACTGAATTCCAATTTTAATCTTTAAATTTTTCTTGCATATTCGGCGGTCTTATAATTTTGCAATTAGAATTTGTACATTCTAATGAATGGATTGTTGCTTTACCTTCACTAATCAAAGGATGTAAATGGAAGGAATCTCCCATTCGTTTAAGATTTTTATTAAAGAATAATCCATTGAAAGAATCAGGGATTAAATGTTTGAAAAAATGTGAAAACTTTTTGATTATCAGCACTGTATTCACAATCCATTATTGTTTTATTAAACAATAATCTATTGAATGAATCAAAGGTTAAACACTGGAAAAAAATTTGAAAGTTTTCAGATTTCATTATAAATGTATCATATCACTTTCCCATTGGTTATCAGCACTGTATTCACAATCCAAGTAAGCTTCCTGATGTATTGTTATAAACGATATGATTTGTAGCATTTTTTGCGAAATTTTTTTTCCAAATTTTATTTACAGGCATGCGTTCCATCATTAGGAGGACCGCCGGGGCCACCAGGACCGGATGGAAAGGATGGAACAAGGGGAGATCCGGGATTGCAAGGAGAAGTAGGACCTCGAGGACCGGAAGGACCGATTGGACAGAGCGGAGAGGTCGGGCCAAAAGGAGTGCCTGGGCTACAAGGACTGCGTGGAGAACCGGGTGAAAAAGGAGACGTAGGACCCAAAGGGCCAGCAGGAGCATAAAAGTAACAGGCAATGAAATTCACAGAAGATATCGAAACAATTCCTCTCAGTGATGTCAATTCTTTTATTTTGGTTGATCTTGTTTTGGCCAACCTATCGTTGTCTTCTTTACATTTTGTCATGAAATTCGTAAACCTGAAATCGTTATCGGGCCTTTATGGAATTTATTTACAAACGTTAGAGCATAAAATTTGAATTTTATAAAACAAATGCTTTATTATACTTTACAATTTATCACTGTGAATCAAATTTTATAAACCATTTTTCAAATTTGTTTTCTAATTTAATTAAAATTTTTGGAATACTTCAAATGTGTATTTCAACTTGGAATGCAAAACATAGCATTCATTGTACTCGAATATTGAAACTTTTGTTTTGTTTTCTGTTTTGGAGAAATAATACCGGTAAGTGCATAAAGTAATCCGGAATATTAATTAAATTGAAATATTCCACATCGCAAAAATTTACGGCACAATGAGATGTTGCAGGAATTTATTTGTACCGTAAGAAATTATTATTAAAGGACTAAATAAGGATCATCATGAAAGAAACAAATAACTATCGGTGATGCAGGCCTTATTTTAAGTGGAGCAGTTTGTTAAGAGAAAACTGAGACCATAGGACTTGAAGTAAAAGACAATTGTTGAATGAAGAAGGATGGAAGTGCTAATTAAATAAACGAAAGAGAAGTGAAAGTGAAGTCGGAGGACTGAATGAAAAGAAGAAAAGAATTTGTTAAAACTGTGACAACTTCAAAAAGTACATCGATAGCAAATTTATGTCGACTAAATAATTGAATAATTGTCAATTAATGACAGATCTCACTTTGTCACAAGGATGATAACGCTATTAGTCATTTTCCCGGTGTCTTTGACAAATTAATCGATGCGATCAAAATTGGATTAATTGAAGATTATAAATTATAACGAAAAAAGGCAACTAATTAACAGAAAGAATAAAAGATTGTTTATATTAAGAATAAAACTTGGACCTAATCTTGAGACGGCAGTTTTCAACCAAAGAATACAATTATTCATCTTCATACCGTGCACCGAAAACTGTTAAAAAATTTTTTACCATTATTACCTCCCACACTACAATGCATTGTTTTGCATATCCAGGCAGTGGACCTTTGTTTGAGATTAATGAGGAGAAATTAGGTGAAATTCTTGAAGAACAAATAAGTAACCGGCAGCATTCAGATACGAAATCATCTTATCTTTCTCGATTTTTTTTCACACAATCTCTTCCTCATTCGGTATCAACTGCTAACTATATAT